TATTATTTAACAAGACAAAACTTTGTCTATTATTATGATTTGACGTCATGAGAGTGGACGTCATTCATCTTGAATAAATTTTCTAAATTTTACTATTATAATAAATTAAAACCTTTTATATGATTTGTATACAGCGTTCCTGTTTATTTAGTAAATTAATTATTAAAGAAGTGTAGTGATGCATAACTGATTTAATCAAACGTTGTGTGGTGTAGATGACGCTATACGCTATTGTGTCAGTGATGTAATTTAGGTGATTGGGTGGCTTCCTCTTCTGAGTACTACAATGGAGGAATCTTCATTTACTATTCCAGCTGATGACAATGGAGATTCTGAGCTCGACCCTAGAATACAGGTCAGTGAGTGACAATTATTGAATAACTGTAATCATATACTTCCGTAACAGCAAAAATGAGTGTTAACTTCGTAGATTATTTCGCCAACGAGCATAATGGATATGATATTTTATATCAAAACATGAAATTTGGACTTATAGCCAGCAAAGAACTCTCAGAGTATCTTAGGGAGCGCTCAAATATTGAAGAGACTAATTCGAAGTTATTAGCGAAATTAGCTAAGCAAGCTAATAGCAATTGCGCTCAAGGTACGTTCGCACCGTTTTGGGGCGTACTTAAGTGTTCAGCTGAGAAACTTTCAAATTTACATCAACATATGTTCCAAAAAGTAAGTGAACTTGTTAAAGATGTGGCTCGTTATGCTGAGGAATTACATAAAAAGCATAAGGCTGTTAAAGATTCTGAGTCAAGTACACTAGAAGTTGTTTTACTAATACAAAGTACGAAACAAGCCTTACAAAAAGCTAAGGATGTATATACAACAAAATCAGCAGAGTTAGAGAAACTGCGTAAAGATAATGCATCAGCAAAAGACATTGATAAGTCAGAAGTGAAACTTAAAAAGCTTCATGAGGATTACAGACAACTTGCTGAGAAATATAACTTTGTAAAACAAGATTTTGAGAAAAAAATGACTCAAACATGTAAGCATTTCCAGGATGTAGAGGAAGCTCATTTAAAACAAATGAAACAGTTTGTAAATGTATATACAGACATAATTCAGAACAACCATGATATGATGGGTCAAGTACATAGAGATTTTAAGCATCAATGCCTAGAGTTAACAGTTGAAAAGTTGCTAGAACAATTCCTTGTGGAAAAATATAATGCTATAGAAAAAGCTAATCTTGTTGAACTGCCTACTACACTCCCAAAACCTGGTTCTGCAAATAATTCAATATCAGAAGCTGATCAGATATCAACTATTTCTAATGGATCACACAAGCCACAACCTACATCTAAATCCTCAACTAAGAAAGATCAACAATCTTTTGTTGCAAAAACTTCTAGGAGGACAACTTCTCTTCTCAATTTGTTTACACCAAATTTCCAAAGTAAAGATGAGCCTAGTGGAAGTGCAGAGGGTGCTGCACCATGTTCTGCTCCATCCAGTCCCAGCGGCACGTCAGCAACCCCAGTGGCCCAAGATAAAGATGATAATATGGGACGTTCAACATTTCGAGAATCTAAATGGTTCCGCAGCAGAAGAACAAAAACTAAAAACAAAAAATTAAAAAAGAAAAAAGATGAAATTTCAGAAAATTCTAATGCTGGTGATAGGTCTGACTTAGAAGAGAAGGAAGAAGAAATGCCAACAAAGGATGATTTAATGAACTCTCCTGAGGTTGATGAAGAAGGTTTTTGTATTAGGCCTAAAGATGAAAAGGGGAGTGTATATTCTTCCACAGACTCAGATTCTGAAGAAGAAAGAGAACAAAAGATCCATGTTGAAATTAAACCAATAAGTAATGGTAGTGCACCTATGTCTGCTAGTGTAGATGAGTTGAGGGCCACTGTAGAGAACATCTCGCTGTATAAAATTGGCACTGCTCGTCGAGGCTCTAATGCAAATGCTAGTAAGGCTAGTAGTGATCTATTAGATTTGAATTTCTTTCAAAGTCCCAACATCAGCAATCCGGCCTCACCTCATGGCAATGTCTCAAATCCATATGCACCATTGCAGGCTAATCAGTCACATTTGCTTGAAAGTCCTACCCCAATGTCAACAACTGATGTTGGAGACCTTTTCTCGGAAGTTGGAGATTTGGCTCAATCCAATTTCAGAACATCTACACCCACGATAACAACTATATCACTCCCACGACCACCTTCACGACGATCTGAGGGAGACTTTCGAACTGCTGGTTCTTCAGGATCCAGAGGTCCATCTCCTCTTACAATAGGAATGGCAGATACTATACCTCTTGCAGTTGCTTTTCATGAAATCATACACTCTTATTTTAGAGGAACAGAAGAGAGTAAATGTCAAGTTAAAATGTCTGGAGATATGATGTTATCATTCCCAACTGGTATTGTGGGTGTTCTTGCCAATAATCCCAATCCAGCCAAGCTATGTTTTAGACTGAAGAATATCCATAGACTCGATAATGTATTACCTAATAAGCAGCTTATCAGTATCAACACTATGATGTCTACAAGAGATTCTACTGTAGTTGAATTTAACATGCCTGCATTGACATCTTTATTGAAAAGACAGTCCGAGAAGAATCCCACTGCTCAATATTTCAATGTAGACATTTTGAAATATCAAATACGCCCTAAAACAGGTGCTGCATCATGTCCTTTCCAATTGGTTGCTTATTGGAAATGTGAGCATGATCACACAGATCTCAAAGTTGATTATAAATATAATCTTCATGCAATGAGTCCTCCATCTCCTCTTCTCAATGTATCGGTCTGTGTGCCAATCAATGGTGGTGTTAAGAATGTTATTGCAATGCCTAAGAATATCTGGAACGGGGAAAATGAACAAGCACTGTGGAGATTCACAGAGCTATCTCAACATTCAGAAGATAGGGGCGTCGGGTCATTACGAGCGCGGTTTGAATTAAATAGAGGTCCTTCATCTAAAGGAACCATTTCCGCACAGTTTAACTGTGAAGGAGCTACTCTATCTGGAATTGAGTTTGAACTAATAGGTAGTGGATACCGCTTGTCTCTTGTGAAACGCCGTTTCGTTTCTGGCAAATACATTTGTGATAGTGATTTTCATTGACTGGTCCAATTCCTTATGACTTAGACTATGTTATATATATATATATATATATATATATATATATATATATATATATATATATATATATATTAAATATGTATATTGTAACTTTTCTTTGTATGTATGAAATATGATAAAATTTGACCCTATTTTCGGTTGAGGTGTATATGATTGTACCTTTTAGGACTGTTTCCTGTCCAGCATAATAATTTTCATTTTAATCACAATAAAAATTTGTCAATTGTCACATTTAATGCTTAGTTGTAATTACTTGTTAGAGTCATTAACATCTATTTTATTATTGTAAACTTTATTTCACTAACTTATTTTTCAAAATAGATATGTGCCATTATACAAACTAACAGTTATTGTGTACATAATATGGATATATTAAATTTTACAGGATTTAATTCATCTATTCAAACAATAACATTTTTTATGGATCTTATATAATTACCAATAGTTTATAGGTGTTCATTCTGTTGAAAACTGAAGGTCAATAAGATCATGCTGTTTATATCATTTTTAAGTTTTAGAAGGTCCCATTTAGAAACCTGATGCTATACTTACACCAATAAAAAGCTTTAAGATCATACTTTTAATGAAACTCATATGATGAAATTTATAAGTTTAGTGTTATCATTTGTAACATGAATAATAAGATTTATCTACCTCCTAAGGTTAGCAAATGACCCCCCCTCCCGCAATTTCTTAATCAAGATGTAGACTAAAAATAAATCTAGTAAAAAATGCTTTTAAAGTCCTAAATTATAATAATTAAAATATTTGTGCATAAACATTTCAACTGTATTTAGAAAACATTTATTATATTTGAATTATTTGAAGTTTTTGAATAAGTACCTCATTTTCTATTATTTATTAATTAAATGCAAAATGCAATAAAAAAACTAGCTTCATTTAATGCAGTAAAAACTTTGCTTATAAGGCATAAAATGCAAAAATAAGTAATATATAGGCCAGAGTTAATGTTACTATCCATATTCATAGTTTCGTATTTCATTTAACAGATGTGATCATCTAAAGTTACATTTACTATCTCACATAAGTTATGCATTAAATTAAATTGAGTTAATTGAGATAAATTGCCTGTAATTGAATCTTTAGAAGTGTTACGTGTATATGTTCATAAATTTATTTGATGTCAGGAGACAACATTTAGAATGTATTACAACCACCGTGAAAATAACTTTATATTATGAGTTATTTTAAAATGTTAAGGATTAGTTTTTAGTTTCATTACATTGCTATCTCTTGTAGCTAGTATATTTGTAACTTACTCATGTGTAATCTCATTATTTAATTTTGTTTTGTTTCTGTAGTGTTTTTATATTGTCAATATAGTAATGGTTATATTATTATTCTTAGAAAGTAACAAAATAAAAGTTCTCAATTTGAAACGAGTGTCAGTGCAACCTTACTCTAGTACAACTGAACCATTCCATTACTTTGCTATTATCTATTAAATATTAAGTCATTTTATTTTTATCTCTTCTGAATTAAATGTTTGAACATTCTGAGTTGTCAATGGCACTTTCTCTTACCCCTTACTTATCTAACATGTAATGAATATAATAGTGAAATTTGGAGATGTGAATATGTGTATTCAAATATTTTTGTATTGTAAAATTTATGGCATGTATAACTCTAGAATGTTAACAGTTAACAACATGATAATTTGAAATAAAATTGTAATTAACTATTTCTAATGCGATTTTCATTATTCTAAAGTCCTTGTCGAGATAATAATAAGTAAGTACCAGTTTTCTTTTTGTAATAGATGCTTTGTTTAGTAGGGACAGGAAACATCTCCATAAGGTACAGATAGATAAAGAGTAGTTATCTCGTATGATAAATGTTCTTGTGCGATAATTTTAAAGTCAGTAGCGATGTCTCGTGAGTTTCCCGTCTCTACATGTTGCTTGCTGTTGCCACACGTTTGGGAATATGAAGTACAAGTGCCTTGCGATTGTCTGAAGCTGTTCGTCAACTTTCAGGTGGAGCTGGAGAAACTTAATGCGGCAACTGACGAGATCAATAAGCTGGAGCTGGAGCTTGATGTGAGTTATTTTATTACGCGCTGGCCTTGTAAGTAGGGTTGACAACTGTTTTAATTTTTATTATGAATTACATAGAACATTAAGTAATTATGAAATTCATTTAAAAAAACTAACTTTATAATTTATAAATCATTTGATGTTGTACCTAAATTAAACAACTGGGTGGCGGCGTCACAGAACCATTACCCCATTTCGTCCTTTTGGTGTTGTAAAAATCATATTTGGAAAGCGGAAGAAAAATCTTATGGCTTCCGTTACATAGAGGTATAATAATCTCATTTACTCCAGATGTAAAATATCCAGGTTTGTGATTTGCAGGACGCAATCCGCGAAGCGTGATGATTAAGGCAAATCGTAGCTACAAAGGATTAGGCACATGTACCGCCGTAGTTTTTTGTGGACTAAACGAAGATGTGATAGTCTGCCAGGTCTATTAATTTCCCTCATTAAGTGACTATTCGCAAGTTAGTTGTGCCCTTAGAATATTAGAAACTAGCTAAAAGTAGAAAGACTATTAATTATGCTGGATGAAATGGGTTTGAAGTCGATACGAATTGGACTTTAGAGAAGAGTTCATTATCGTACGACATGCATGTACACAGACGCGCGCGCCTTTGCACGTGCACTCATTTACTCTCACGGAATTGCGCGCCCGTGAAGCGTACAGTCAGACCAAAATATAAGTTGTAGTATTTCTTTAAACATCCATTACTAGATATTACTGAAGTTCTTTAAGGTTGAAAAAGCTGGCGCGAAACGTTTAAAGATATATCTAAAAGCATTCTGAACATGTTGACTAGCCAATAACCGCCGTTTGTTGGTCATCAGAATTTCATTTATTGTATTTTTCAGGATGCAATGCGCAAATTAACTTGACATTAAAAGAACAGGTCATATTCCCTATTTTATTTTATTTCATTTAATAAGGCTTACCAACTAAATACATAAGGGGAACTTATGATGTCACAATTTTTGTAAAAAAACGTTATACATATGCATTTAAATTAAAGGTAATCACAACATTCTTATATAATAAAAGCCGTTTTTTACAGAATACATACTAAAAATTTTAAATTTGTACAGAGAAAAAAATATGAAAGATTTTTATTTCACAATAATGGAAAATACCGGCTTTGCACGAGTGATTTCTAGATTTCGAGAACAGGTGAATTATAGCTAAGAATCATTCAGGTGACCCCATAAGTACTCTATTAAAATCTATCAAAATCGGTGAAACAGTTTAGAAGGAGACATATTACGAACACATGCACACCGTAATTTTATATTCATAAAAATGTAATGCGATTGGCAACCCTACTTGTATCGTTTAGCCGTTATCATGATGGTACAGTGAGATAACAGATTGAGTGCTAGTACTGGTGGCCGAGAATTGGTTTAATCCAATTTTGCAGTAACATATGCGCGTTTTCATCCGCAAATGTTATGTTTTGTATGATTAAGGGTGGCAAACGAGCATACAGTTCACCTGATGGTAAGTGGATGCTGTGGCCCATAGACATCTACATTTATACTCGATTAAGATTTAAAACGCAGATGCGTTGTCACCCCTGAGGACTAAGATGGAATGCCTCGTTTACAGTAAAAAAGGGTCCCCGTCTCCGGATCTCTACACTCACCATACGAAACACAGCAGTATTTACGCTGGTATTTTGTGAGAGCGTGGTCTTTCCCCGGTCGAGTCGAGCCATTGGTGCTACAGCCATAATATAGCTGTAGCGTGGCTCTACCACACACTTCTTTTCCCCTTTCCATCATCGGACAATCAGATTCTCGGCGGTACTTTACCTCTTTGTTGGTGAAATTTCAGTTTCACACATTGGTACCAAACGGTTTACTTCGTAGAATAATATTCCAGCAATGTCTTACCATCCAATTACAATGTGGGTATCTTCAAAGCAAAGTAAAAAGGTTTTCGTTTACATAAATTAATGAATGCGCATTACCTACATTCGCATCTTCGACTACATTACCATTTACCATCAGATGGGTTAGTAGGCAAGTACTGGCTTAAAACATTATACTCGTATTGAACTTTAACGTTCAAAGCATGCATTCGCTTTAGTTTTGTTTTTTATTTCATATGCGACAAGATCAAGGCTGCGCCGCGTTACGACCGCTCAAATTTTACTTAAAGTTTTTAGTATTATCTTATCACGGACTAAAGCAAACACTGTATTGTACACAAATATGGCAAACCATGAACGTAGCGTCGCGATCGTATTTGCTTTTAACTTACTGTAATTTGTTTACTACATACAATATTTTGTAAAACTAATATAACCCTTTCCTTTTGTACCAACATTACTTATTATTAATAATAAATGGGTGCGAATAATTAAAAGTTATGCGAGATTTAAAACAAAAACAATTTTGCCTTTTTTGTTTCTAAAATAAAACCTTGCTGTATGGAGTAATATTCGAATATCACATTTGCCTCTTCGATATTATGTTGATTTAATTTTTAGTCATTTGTGTAATATAATATCTTTATGGCTTTACTATCTGGTTGCGACACCAGCAGGAACAGTAGTCAAGCGCTGATTTATTATAATTAAAAAAAGAATACTGATTTCACATGAATATATGATATTCATGAAGTCATACCGGTGGCCATAATTGTTTTCCTTGTTATTCTTCTGTATCAGTCTGCTATATCTGCTGGACATGTTCATCTTCCATTGTTGGAAGGGCTTGCTGTAATGGATACGATTGGCTAGTGATTGGAGATCGTAATATATGTCTCACACCATAATTCTTTTTACGCAAACGCTGACGAAACAATCTAGGATGCTGACTGCCAATATGTAGGCCAATGTTCCGCTGCATAAAACGGTGACCTGAAGAAACATACAGGAAATGAACGGTCAGACAATGGCACTACTCCGTACTCGTAGAAAAAACCTACACCTGATAATTAAAATATATAGCCTCACAGACTTGTCATTATGCTGGTGCTCTTAACCGGAACAAAACTGTTGCTTGGTGGCAAAAGAAAATAAGAGGGTATGGGTACGTATTCGGACTCCGAAGTAGAAAACTTACTCTAGTGGGAATTGTGTTTGACTGTGCTTTGACATTAGGTTTCGTTGAATTGTGTACATGTATCAGTATAACTGACCACTAGTATATACAGAGGTCAGTGGTCAGTATAGATTATAAGCGGATATCTTTATCTTCATCTTATTCATCGGCTTATAAAACTACTGCTGGTTTCTCTTTGTTCGATTTGGATATTTTATTCGCATGAGTTTTTTTCTTAGAATGTAGTGATTATATACTTTTTGAATATATGTACACACAGAAATATTAGCTTTCTGCACTCCTCCATACTAACTTTAAATATGCCAAATTCCTCACCTCCGTACGTGTAATATACGTAAAATGGGGCAGAAACTTTTACCTTTCCGTATAAATATATATATATATATATATATATATATATATATATATATATATATATATATATGTGTGTGTGTAATGTATAATTATTTTAGATTACATAACATTAATTTACTAACAAAACAACTCATTTGCGGATTCATTCCCAACGACAAACGATTCCTACGAGGGTTGCTTAAATGCACTGCTGTTTATAGATTGTGTTGACCTTATGTTTTTTTTTAATAGAATAATAGTGACTAACGAGCACACAGTTCACCTGATGCAGATGCGTTGTCACCCCTGAGGACTAAGATGGAATGCCCTTTCCGTGGGTATGCGGTTCTCTACACTCATCATACAAAACACAGCAGCATTAATTTACTATTTTACGCTGGTATTTTGTGAGAGCGTGGTCCTTCCCCGGTCGAGCCGACCCATTCGTTTTACAACCACAATATACGTCTGAAATGTCTTGTTGTTCTTAAATCGCATATGCGTCAAAAACTAGATGATTCACAACTCGTTACGGCCGCATCGTTGACCGGTTTAGTGCCGCTTCGATGCCGATTGCAGTGTTTATTCTTTGGAGTCAAAATGAATTGTAATAGTTCTAGTCCGTATATTCTATTGTTAACAATGGACAAGAGAATGTCTTGTGGGTATTATTTAAATATGTATGTATTAATTTCTAAAGAAATTAAAATAAATAGACTTTTATTAGGTATATATAAATAAAGCGTGCAATAGCCATATATTTAGGAAATAAAAATCCTTTGGCAATTTAAATACCTACACGATTTCCACACATAAATCATAAAAACCCAGTTATTTTTTGTAGATGTATAGTCGTAAAAAGTTTTTTTTATTTATTAAGGTTCGATCCCCGCCGGCACCAATGAAATTTTTAATTGCAATTTTAAGTGCTGAATTACCACGTGCTCGGCGGTGAAGAAAACATCGTGAGGAAACCTGCATGTCTGAGAATAAAGAAAAAAAAATATTTCAAAGACATGTGAAGTTCGCCAACACGCATTGCGGCCACTTCCTAGCCCTAAAATCCTCTCAGAAATGAGCGGAGGCCTGTGCCCAGCAGGGGGACGTATATAGGCTGTAACTTTACTTTACAACATTTCAAAACAAATACACCTCAAGATCTTGTATTATTTTTAATTTACTATATTCAGGACTAGTGATCGACGAAGACGATAATATCTATTATGTTTTAAAAAGTAGACATACCAAAGCTATTTTTCCGAGAGGCCCGATTCTAGTATTCATCTTCATCATCATCATTACAGCCTCTGCCACCAAAGCACGGTGCTGAGCCATCTGCATCCATCGACTTCCTGCATCCCTTATCAGGTCGTTACTCCATCTAATGGGGACGATCTTTTTTTATGTGGGAAATACCTACGCATACTCGTCTCGCGGAGTAAGCACGAGTTATGTCCGACTCGTAGCGACTAAAACCGCATGGTGTTCCACCTACGTCGCATATTGGCAGGACCACGGGAACGCTTTCGCACACATCCGCGCTGGTATAGCAGCGCTGGCTGCTCCTTCTCGGGAGAGGACTACTCGTCCCCCATCTCCTTTTC